TCTCTGTCTCAGCCTGTGGACCTCCTGATTTAGATGGTGAGTCATGTGGCTGAAGCCTTTCTGTGGTATTTGGGACGCAGCCTTTCTGTGGTATTTGGACCAGCAGGGATCTGGGACAATGGAAAGGCAGGTTTTTTTTGGTTGATCAAAAAGGGGCGTAGATGGTGGGTGGGGGGCGTGGCAGGGGGCGTGGTAATGACTGCGGTCGTCTCGTCGGCGCAGCAAAAGTTTAGAGAATTTGAGGCCCCCATCTTGGTGGTAGAGAAATGTTTGCATTTTTAAGGCAATTTATTGTGAATCCTACATATTCTGCCATGAAGCTGAGAGAACTTTGCAGTTTAAAGGTAATTTCCTGCGATTTTATGCATTTTGCCATGATATTATTTTTGCTGAAACATAAGAACAAAATGAATACTGCTAAATTCATTGTTTTGGGATATTTATATTCTCCCTGACTGTCTAGCTTTTATTTTGGCGATTGTTAGTTCTCAAAGATTACATTATTTATAAATATATATCGGTCCATTATCTTTTCTACATACTTTATCTTGTTTTAAGTTTACACTCCATCCTTAATGTTTTTTTTGATGATTTTGTAAATGTTTACACTGTTTGGACTTAGGTGTAAAATACGCTTAGGCGGCCCGCCTAAGGATTGCAATGGCAGAAATATACCTGAAAGGGCTGTTACTTACTAGAGTTTATAATAACAGTAAAAAACTGCCAACCTTGAATTACTCTGATTGGTTGGCTTATAATGAGGGACACGCCTTCTCATACACCAGTATACCAAACATTAGGAACACCTTCCTAATATTGAGTTGCACCACGCCATTTGCCCTCAGAACAGCTTCAATTTGTCGGGGCATGGACTCTACAAGGTGTTGAAAGCGTTCCACAGGGATGCTGGCCCATGTTGACTCCCACAGTTGTGTCAAGTTGTCTGGATTCCTTTGGGTGGTGGACCGTTCTCGATACACACGGGGAAACTGTTGAGCGTGAAAAACCCAGCAGTGTTGCAGTTCTTGAAACAAAGCCTGGTACCTACTACCATACCCCGTTCAAAGGCACTTCAATGTTTTGTCTTGCCCATTCACCCTCTGAATGGCGCACACACACAATCCATGTCTCAATTGTCTCGAGGCTTAAAAATCCTTCGTTAACCTGTCTCCTCCCCTTCATCTACACTGATTTTGTTTTTTGAAGTGGGTTTAACAAGTGACGTCAATAAGGGATCATAGCTTTCACTTGGTCAGTCTTTCAGGGAAAGAGCAGGTGTTCTTAATGTTTTGTCCACTCAGAGTATATAGAGTACACAATAGTTACATTTAGTGGCAGTGGTGGGATCCTGTTGTTGACCTCTGTTCACATTAACACCAATGTCAACACTGAGAAGTGCCACTGCACTTATCAGGGCATGTTTATTCAACTGCGATTAACTCTTACTCATTGACCTCTTTATATTATCTCACAGAGACTGAATATTATTCGGTGAGGGTGATAAGTGTCTCTAGCCTAGAGTCTCCCAACACTTGACTTGACTCAACATTTCAGCTGTTGAGAGAGGGTGGCTAATCAACCAGATCAGCTAATCAAACATGTCGATACCCCCACTGCTGCCAATGAGTCAGCAGCTGTCTTCATTCCCATTCAATACTGAGGATCAGGGTTGGGGCCAATTTTCATTTCAGTCAATTCAGGAAGTTTACGGAAATTCAAATTCCATGACCCACTGCCAATGAGTCAGAAAAGCCCTTATAAACTCCACCCTATCTATGCTTTTTCTCCATTCCCATTCAATACTGAGGATAGGATGAGAATGAATGGCTGTGGCTGTTGGACTCCCCCTGCCTAAATAAAGGTTAAATAAAAATAATTCTTGAATACTTTTTTGAATAGACATAAATGAGTGCACCACTTTGTTTTTTATCAACAGATAAACATCAGGAAATATTTTTTCATGTCAGCAACTATTTGTAGAAGCGAAATGATTTCTCAATAAATGAAAGTGAAACTTTAACCTGTGACTTTTGTTATAGCTATCACTGAAATGTGTTGACAATATAGAAACTAATAAACCACTTCTCTATGATCACTTGATGTTTGTTAGGCAGGTTCCGCTGAACAACCATAGAGAATCAACTGTTTACTTGGAGAAGAACATTTAATTAAAGTTAAGAATAGTAGCTATTTTAATAATGATAATGTCTTGCCAAGGTCGCAGTTGTAAATGAGAACTTGTTCTCAACTGGCTTATCTGGTTAAATAAAGGTTAAATAAATAAAAAATAAAATATAAAAAATATCCCAGTGCTTATTAAAGTCCCATAATTATTTAGGTAATGTCTAGGGAGTCATGGTGGTTAGACCACCGGTTTTTAAGCTGCAACCACCTTGACAAATGTGTGTGTGTAATTTGAATTTACTCACAGAAACCAAGTAAGTAGCACATGATCCACAGTTCAGCTTCGAAGACCAGGTGTGTGTTCAGTAGACACGAAATGGAAGAGAACTCAAACTCTTTTTTTGTTGCTACGGTGTACCCTAATGAGTTAGGTCATTCTTTCAACAGGGACTACATTTTGGCACTCAAGGTTTTTCCGGAAGGAGCTGTCTGCTTCGTATTAGGAAGTAGGGCTGGGAATAGCCAGGGACCTCACGATACAGTATTATCACGATACTTAGGTGCAGATTACAATATGTATTACGATTTTCACGATTTTGTGTGTATTGCGATTTGATTCTGTGATATTTATTTGCGATTCGATGTTCCAAACATTGCTCACCATATGTCTGCTGCAGAGGGCCAAGAGAGAGACATGAGAAAACAAGTTTTGATCAGTCATGGAAATAAAAGTGCTGAAAACGATTTTGGCTCCCTATTTAAAAAGATGGAGAACAAGCTATGACGGAAAAGTACTGGAGTTTTGGTGCAGGTACAGACAATAAGCGCAAAAATAATATTGCGATATGTATCTATTTGATTTTCACTTGTAGGAAAAGATAAACAAACATAAATATTTAGATAAGGTGGTGTGGGTGCTGCCAGCCAAAGCTTCGCTGTGTTACAACCCCCAGAGACTGAGACTCTGCGCTCATCAAGGCCATGACACCACTGAAAACACTTGATGACTTAGCTTTAGGCTACATCGCAAAACAGGATGTTGGTGAAATGGATCATTCACAGTTGCGCACACATCTATTCTGTATCTATTTCTATTAGCAGGTTCTTGCCAAATAGCAAAAGGCTACATTGTGAAAAAGAAGATGGATGTCCTGTGTAAATTCCCTCTTAAAAATGAAGATCCGACAAGGAAGACCAAAAGGTCTTGAACGATGGCCCCAATGATGTATATAAACCCTGGATTGCTGATGCTATGTATTGGCCAATGAGAGGCTTTGAAGCCACCGATCGGCCATATTGGCACTCCCCAGAAGGAGCAGTCCTTCATAGGAATGAATGGAATTCTACAGTATTTCAATTAAATGTTTCATGGACAAAAATTACATGTTTAAATATGTTTTTGTTGTACTGGGGACAGTAACATTAGTACTTTCTAAAACATATTTTAAGGAAAATATTTGTATATATTTTTTAATGTTTTATGTTTAGCACATAATATATTTTTTATGTAATCATGTGTCTGTAACAGAATAAACTTGGCAAAAACAAATGTAGATGTTACTAAATGCATTTTTATAGTTTATTTTTTACAATGGTGGGGGAGTGCCAAGATGAAGGCACGGTGGCTTCAAAACAGTGCCCCTTGTCAATCATCTAGTGTGTATATATAAATCATTGGATGGCCCTCTTTGAGTACTTTGAAAAGGCATCCTTCCTTCCTTCCTTGAAGTAATCACATCTAAATTGGTTGGTTTGGGAAAAGCAATTATGTGGCAGGTTTTCTTTTATCTGATCGAAATCAAACACTTCTGATCTGTGGTAAGCTCGATGGAACTGTACAGAAACCACCTTTTTATAGTCTGTTCCCAAAACAGGATATGAAGTCATGAGCTCCACTGGCACATCTTAGCTGTGTTCACCCAGGATAAACTTTGCCCAGAGATTGTGGTGTGTTTTGATGCCGGAGAGGGAGGGGGAACACTGTGTGAGTCTCACCAACGTGCCATCATTTTTCACCATGGCCTTGTGGGAGGCCAGGCTATCTAGACCCCCTAATTCACAGAAATCGGTTCACGTAGTCCACAGCGATCAGTTCACAGCTATTGTTCCCTACTTCCTTCACAAATAACAACTCTTCCACGTGTCAAAGTTCATTCTAAATGAGACTTTGCACTTTCTCCAGTCTAATCTACAATTTGTTTTATTTTTCAAGTACATATTTCCCCTCTGCTTCCTTTTCCCCTAGTGGTGGTGTATTTCCCCTAGTGGTGGTGTATTTCCTCTTTGAGAAATATGGGCTACAGGGAGTTTCCAGCATGTCTACACCAATCCAATCGTTTTTTATGGGGGTGGAGTGTACAAGTGCACACTTCAGGAGAAAGTAGAGATTATTGGGACGCAGGGTCTGAATTCCCCCTGTGATCATCATGGCGAAAGCTTGAAACACTGTGGGCTAACTGACCATGGTGGAGCCAGACACACTAGTGATTGGAAACATCCAGTATCTGTGTGTCTAGAATCGCTGTGTCAGCAGGCGGACAAGCCACTCATGACAGTCAGTGCTGTGTCATCCCTTGTCCAAATGAAATCCGATGGCCTAATAGGATACCTAATACCCACAGTGTGGTAGGTGTCAAAGTGTGTTGCTAACTCCATCACTGAGTCACCAGGAAATGTCAGGCCCCTTTTGTAGGAATTACAAGGCTACGAAACAATTTTTCACTATTAAAAAGTGTGTCAATGCTGATCTGTATGCCGTTACTGAATAAACGATTGAATACATTGTTGAATAACCAATTGCCTTTCCGGCTTTGGAAAGAGGTTTTCTGACACAGGCTTCCTGGTTAAATATTGGTCACTGTTCCTCTCTCTCCCAGGTGACTACTGTGAGATAAATGTCTGCAGTAATGGGGGGACCTGTGTGACCGGCGCCAGATCCTCCATCTGCATCTGCCCCGATGGCTACACTGGGGACACCTGCAACGACACTGAGACCGGTACGGAGAACAGAACAATATTAATATCTGCACAAAAGCATTATAGCTAGGTCTTTGAATTAGTATCAAGTATAGTTATTCATTTTGTAAAGTTATTTGTAGGCCAGTTATAAGGAGTCCAAAGCTGTTATCAATGCCTATAGTATGTATTTCTAAAGCACTATGGATGTCTTGTGACTGTTCATAAAGGTGTTAACGCCAATAGATGGTACATAGACCGTGTTAGAGGGAGATTCTGAGAGGCTGTCTCTGTACTACACGGTATTGCCAATATGGCCCTAATAATATTATTCCCTATCCTCCTCCCTTGCATCTCTGCCCCAGGTCATTGCTGTAGAAAGAGGATGTGATCGCGGTCAACCTACCTGGTACAATGGTAGTACAATGAGGATTAATAATAAGTTATATTTGCTTCCCAGGGCCATGCAACCCCAACCCCTGCAAGAACGATGCCATCTGCGACGTGACTGGCCAGAAACGCAGAGGCGACATCTTCAGCGAGTACATCTGCAAGTGCCAGGATGGCTTTGACGGAGTCCACTGCCAGAACAGTAAGGGTCCGCTGCCAGAACAGTAAGGGTCCGCTGCCAGAACAGTAAGGGTCCGCTGCCAGAACAGTAAGGGTCCGCTGCCAGAACAGTAAGGGTCCGCTGCCAGAACAGTAAGGGTCCGCTGCCAGAACAGTAAGGGTCCGCTGCCAGAACAGTAAGGGTCCGCTGCCAGAACAGTAAGGGTCCGCTCAACGTTTACATTCACATAGAATCTATTAGCCAAGCTGTTGAGTATGGAAGAATATGGCTGCCAATGTTATGGTTGGCTTTATTCACTTTGCATGAGGATGCAATGTTGTCATCTATTCTAGGCAGAATGGTGGGTTATCCAAATTGAGATCCAATTTTAAACACATCAAACTTTGATTTAAAAAGTGGATTAAAAGTGACATGTCAACACACTCAAACTGACCAACACATTGACCACCACATTGTGGTGCACTCACAAGAACTAGTGAATTTCATCAGCCCAACCTAATTGTTGCATTCCAGTTCAACATTTACCTGCTCTGTCGCAGTCTACCATTGAAGACTACACTCGGAAGTCATGCTATTTGTATTTGAGCAATATGATTGGCCGTTCAAGCACCACCATGCTCCCGCAAGTCACAACTTCTCGAGCAGTAGCCTACATGAGTTGATGCCTTCACACAGCACACGAGCTGTCCCAAGCAAAAATAAACGCCCATCAATCTACTCGATTAGCTTATTTTATTTTTAGGGTAAGTTATTTACAAAAGTAAACCTTCAATAGTGAACATGCTAGCAATAGCTGGCTACTGTTGATAGTCTACTAGAAGAAAGCTACAAAAAGACACCTAGCATTTGTCTTGGCTAGTCTACTGTAGCCATGACGATAACTCTTTTGGAACGTTTGTCTTAAAGGGGCAACGTCCTATTTTGAGATGTAAAAAAATAACTTTGCAAAATTACATACTTTAGAAACAAAAATGTATTCAATTAATACAATGCAATTCTAAAGAATAGAGTAATGACTTACATTGCTAAATTATATTACACAGCTTTTTAATACATATCATAATAACCAAATGTAGCCTATTAATAGCTGAATGTAGAGCGAAAGCATGCCAACCTATAGGCCCTCATGACCCCAATGCATTTAAAAACTACACTGTGTCCGGACCAGTATAAATTATTTTCATGCCTGTAGATATTTGGCTAACTGGGCCAGTGAGAAACCAAGTTAATGTTGGACCATGCCCTGTGGTAGATACAATGAGCGAGAGAGGTCGGAGGTGTGTTCATTGGAATAGATTAGACCTAGAGAAACAAAGGCTGTGTTTACACAGGAAGCTTGATTCTGATATTTTTCCTCTAATTGGTGTTTTGACCAGATCAGCTCTTTTGTAAAAGGTCAGAATTGGGCTGCCTGTGTAAACACAACATGATACAAGAAAACCAGTTATTCTGACATGGCGTTGATGTAGAAAAAAACTGTTATTCTGACATGGCTTTCATGCAGAAAAAAACTGTTATTCTGAAATGGCGTTGACACAGAGGCACAGGAGGCTGAGGCAGCAGTAAGTGGGTTTTTCAACCCAAGCAGCTGTTGTCCTTACGGGAGCGTCTCTCCGAATATGGCATGGTTCAACTCCCAACTGGCAGCATATGCTTGGCCCCGAGCACTGCACGTAACAGACAGGTGGTGACTGTGTGCTGTTATGTCACAGAAAAATGGAGCAACCAAAAATATGCAAAAAGCTAAGTTAGTTTGGAAGTAATCGTATACATGTATTTTCCCAAATGTATGGCTTAAAAAACAAATCAAGGTACGTCTTTTTTTTTTTATGATGCGTGGTGAACACTGACACATATTGAACATCCTTAGGTCTACAGACTCAAGTGGTTGATTATGACAAAAACCACAATGATACAATGTGTTGAGAGCGATTCATGGTTTGTCGGTAATTAGGGGTTTGTGTGTGAATATGTGTGACAGTGAGTGGCAGGCAGATTTTTGGTTGTTTTAGGAGTTGCCTCAACCACACACAGGATATGGCTAGTCTGAAGTGGACAGATTAAGCTCTGCACCACCTTGGGAGGTCTGTTTGCATCCATTTCTGTTTACGTGGGTGTGTGCATTTTTGTGACACAAATGCTCTGTTTACAGTAGTTTATGGAAGCCACACTGCTCTGTTTACAGTAGTTTATGGAAGCCACACTGCTCTGTTTACAGTAGTTTATGGAAGCCACACTGCTCTGTGTACAGTAGTTTCTGCTAGCCACACTGTTCTGTTTACAATAGTTTCTGGTAGCCACACTGCTCTGTGTACAGTAGTTTCTGCTAGCAAACACTGCTCTGTTTACAATAGTTTCTGCTAGCAAACACTGCTCTGTTTACAATAGTTTCTGGTAGCCACACTGCTCTGTGTACAGTAGTTTCTGCTAGCAAACACTGCTCTGTTTACAATAGTTTCTGCTAGCAAACACTGCTCTGTTTACAATAGTTTCTGGTAGCAAACACTGCTCTGTTTACAATAGTTTCTGGTAGCCACACTGCTCTGTTTACAATAGTTTCTGCTAGCAAACACTGCTCTGTTTACAATAGTTTCTGGTAGCCACACTGCTCTGTTTTATAGTAGTTTCTGCTCGCCACACTGCTCTGTTTTATAGTAGTTTCTGCTCGCCACACTGCTCTGTTTATAGTAGTTTCTGGTAGCCACGCGTTATTGTTATTTACATTGACATGTTAGTCATTTAGCAGACGCTCTTATCCAGAGCGACTTACAGTAGTGAGTGAAATACATTTTAATTTAAAAAATAATGTGTACTGGTCCCCCATGGGAATCGAACCCACAACCCATGCTCTACCAACTGAGCTACACGGGACATCCAGATTGGTGCCCAAAAGTCCAGTGATGCCCAGACATTCTGAACGGGGCTGTTTCGTATAAATTACACCATAGTGGCCTGGAAATACGATGACATTGCCAAGTAGGCAAATATTTAGTAGGAAACAACTTTGCCATCAATGTCATGTTGTCAAATTTACTTGAGACTGATGGCAATGTTGTCATTAACCAGCATTGTTAGCTAACGTTAGTCAAAAACAGCTAGCAATGCTATCTAAACCCTGGTGGTCTCCCCTCAATCTTAGTTAGCTTAGTGATTTTACTATTCCTTGAATTACATTATGGGATATAATTAAGTTAAGATGTTATCAGGGGGTGTCATTCTAATTTGATTTGTTATTTTGATTTAACAGGCAGTGTTATTTTTTGAACGCATGAATCACGATGTGAGTCATGTGTATAAAGGGGAATTACTGTTTCCTGGGGCTTTTGGTAAATATGCTAATTGTATTAAGAATATGAGCAGTAGTAATTAATGTGTTATGTGCAAATGTATTTGTGGTGGGAGACGGTACAGAGGAGGCCTGTCTCTGAAACTAGTGGACTGCAAGAAGGCGCACTTCCTAATCTCAAGGCTTCTCCTGACTGATGAGAAGACTTGGTAAAGTAGCATACTGTGTCTCACTTAACAATGTTCTTAAGACTCTCTTCTAATGGGTGAAGGCTTCTCTGCCCAACCTAGCAGGAGAATCTGAGAGTTGTCTATGCTGGAGGCTTTGTGGCAGTAAAATATTATAGAAGTAAGAGCTGGTCAGACCCTAGGGGGAGAGGCCTGTACCAGGTGTTGCTGACTACCTCATTGGCGGTGAAATTAGCAAAAGAAGATACCTGGATCCATGTGTCCCAAGGTAGGAGAGTTCCAATCCCAGAGGAGGAAGATGGACCCGCCACTGCATGGCATTGTTTTCTTTTGTATCTGTTTGTGTCTTTGCAGCAGTGACTCTCAGCTTCCCTATTGGTACGCTGCTAGAAGGACACACTCCACATACCGATGTTAATAAATTGAGTAAGATTCTGCCTGAGCCCGAGACACTAGTGAAGAAAGAAGGTTAAACGCTAAAGGGACCATACATCGTCACCCAGGCTACACCAACGGCTGTGCGGATAGAGGGGAGATCGACCTGGTATCATCTAAACCACTGCACCAGAGTACTATGAGGAAACCGACTACATAGAGATGAGGGAGCTGAGGATGCTGGAGCTGACAATGATCAGGTGATGGGAGACGATGGCAAGGGTTTCCCTAACAGAAATTGAGGTCTAACTTCCTGGGACTCTGAGGTGTAATCCACAGGGTGATAAGGGGATTATATTAGAAATTGGCATTAAGAATAATTGGTAAAACATAATAATTTGTCATATAGTCAATGCGTATATGGATTTCTTGGATTGGAAATGAACTCCACTATGTGTGTTCTGTCCTATCTCGAGGTAACTACAGATGGTGTTGTGATGCATAGCAGGGATAATTTGGTCAAGAAAGGTGTGAACCTAAAAAAAAACTTCTAAACCGGCTGAAGATGAGCAACAAAGGCGTTGAATACGGTCCTGTCCAGCACAACTTCTACCTGCAACAGGTGGACAGCATCCAATCGAAGCCATCAACTGATTTTCTCATGCTTTTCTCGCGGGAGTGTGACAGTTGTCCATGTGGAGTGGGCATGGAGAGAGATCTGTTCAAATACAACATTTCTCATGTTGTTGGTGTACTGGTTGGCAAATGGACGAGACAGAATGGGGGGTAGAGATGGTAGCTGCTCGAATGAGACATTGGAATTGGGACATTGTTATGGGCATTTCAAGTTTACATTTACATTTTACATTTTAGTCATTTAGCAGACGCTCTTATCCAGAGCGACTTACAGTTAGTGAATATATATATATATTTTTTCAATCATACTGGTCCCCCGTGGGAATCGAACCCACAACCCTGGCGTTGCAAACGCCATGCTCTATCAACTGAGCTACATCCCTGCCGGCCATTCCCTCCCCTACCCTGGACAACGCTAGGCCAATTGTGCGCCACCCATGAGTCTCCCGGTCGCGGCCGGCTGCGACAGAGCCTGGATTCGAACCAGGATCTCTAGTGGCACAGCTAAGTTGAACTATGAAGCGGTCTGTAGAACATAAAGAAGAGACGCCAGAAGA